CGTAGCCAAACAAAAACTTACAGCTGATTTTCATCTGATTGATCAATATAGTTATATGTACCCGGGAGATGTAATTGAAATCGGTAGCATATGCATAAATCAAAATGTAAAATTTTTACATCGGGATTAAAATAAAAAGACTTACAGTATTAATACGAGTTTACATGACTTTGGAACTTTTTACTGATCTCACTTTTATGCATGTATGAATTTGAATTTAAATTTAGTCCATTCTACTTTTCCCTATGAAGGTTTTACCAAGTACTGCACATGTCTTCCATTACATGGTTTATCATCACCTATGATCCCCTTCCCAAATCAAATATCAATGCAAATGCAAAATGAACACCAACTAGCTGTGTCATGTAGCATTTACAATAAATATTCCAACCAGGGCAAGTAACTGTTTGATCCCCTTTAAATCCATTACCCAGAGTAATCCTTTATCTCTATTTACTAAGAGACGTGAAGCAATGTGTCTGTGTGGAAGGGGGAAGGGGTTACCGATGAGTAATCAAAGTACTCAGAAGTACAGAGAGCCGGGCTCATTTACAGAGTAGAATGGATTTCTTACGTGAATCACGTTTATATTGTGATGAAAAAATTATTTTAAAACTATCAATGTAAGTGATAAGACACTGACAGTGAGTTTTTCAATCCTAATACCACGGTCCAATTTTGTCAGAATCAGAATTAATCTGGTACCGCAGCTGAATGTAAACAAACAGGCCAGTCTGGTTCCCTCTCCTGCTTTACCTCGTATGTGTAGAGAACTATAGTAACACTGATTATCAAAAATCCTTACGCCAATGAACTATGTTCTTTGACTTATGAAGTTTTCAAAGTCATTACTATAAATGTTTATTTTATATAGATAAAACTTCGTTTTATTTTTGTTGCTTTATTTAGCCTTTGTATTATCTCAAAAGCGGTTGAGAGTAAGAACTATATTTTTGCACGTAACTTTAAAATGGCGACTATTGGGTTAACATCCTGCCTTGAACAGGATCACATAAGCCGGCAATTGCTCTTTGAGCAATAAGCCCGGCTAAAAAAGGAAACGAAACTTAGGCATGGAATGTAAACAAAAATGGAGGTGGCAAATGGAGCAGCCTTTGAAGAATGTCCTTACTAAAGAAACCCTAAAATAAGTATTCTCGTGTGTCAACCTTCTTAAGAAAAACTGAGTGCATCACTTTGAGTCCAGTTTGAGTCACAATCTTGATCATGTTATCTTTGCAGGTATATGTATCTGTTTAATTGCTTAATCTACTGATGAGCCCGCATAAGGCGACAGCGCAATATAGATTAAAGTTTGAGTTTTTCATTTTTTGGATTTCGTTTCATTGTTATAGATCTTCAATATTTTTAGGTGGTAATATCAGGGCAGGCTTATGCAAAGCAAAATCACCATTTTTTTTTTTTTCAGGGACCTAAGGTAAAATACATGCACTGGGAACAAAATGTTTAGATGACAAACACTTCGCATTTTCTAGTGCAAACTTGGTGTCTTTCTAATCACGGCCAAAATCCTCTTTCAATCTGGAGGCTACAGGCGGACTCTGGACCGTGGCTTGTGTTGATTATCGATGTATTTAGGCATTCATAAAGACCGCGTATATATAATAGTTCATAGGTGACATATATTAGACTTGCGTGCAAATGTCTTTTCTTGGACTTGGCACTTGTATAAATATATTCATAATACATGTAGATATGAACCTGCGATGTAAAAAGAATGGTTATTGGGGGGGGGGGGGGGTCCTTCTCATTATGGTTTACACAAACAAGTTTCTTGCAATTCACTGACAGCATCTCTGTCTGTGTCTGACAAACACAATTTTTCTTCCATTTTTTTATTCAAAGTCTCAATAGAAAAAATGGAATCTGAATCGCTACACAAATTTACATATCATAGGCGTCGGAACCGGAGGGTGGGGGGCTAGGGCCTCTTTTTTGCAAACATAGCCATAATATAAATAATGAAGATTGGATCGTAGGTTTAGACAGAAATTGTACTGAGAGAAGTTCGATATAACCCTCCCCTCCCTCCCTCCCGAAATAGGATCTTCGTGAAGGACGAAGGACAGTTTTTTTCGCTTTTCAAGTTTTGGGTAACTTGAATATTTTTTCTCCTTTACTTTCCCCCTTCCACTTTCAATTTGCTACCGACCCCAAAGCATATACTTCCATTGTATGTCCCACTTCGCTACCCGACCTTACATGTAATTCCCAATCATTTTACGATAAACGGACGAATTCATTATATAAATCATGAAAAAAATAACTGTTTCAAAAAGCAAAAACATAATTATAATTTTCTTAAAGACATATCATTGAACTTGGGGAAAAAAATTGTCCACAACTCTTGCATCGATTACTTTTTGAAAACAGGTAACAGTGTTTTTTAACAAATGTTTCTCGACCAACCAGATTCAACTAATTTACATGAAAGTATAATATACACAAATCTTCTCTGCAATAGTTAAAATCAAAGCTTGTTTTAGGATATAAAACAGAAGTATGAAGAATTTCGCTCCCCAAAGAATGAAAAAAAAAATATATCTGTCATGCAAAATCCTTCCTGAATTACCATTTCGGAAGTAAATGTTTTTCCCCAATTCAATCTGTTATATCTAAAAAGGCATTGTCTTAAAAATAAATAGCTGACTCGCAAATAGTATTAATGATATAAGGTTTTTTGGTAAATTTCAGTTCTGTTTGAAACCTGCAATTAATCTGTCCGTGAAATTTAGACCAAACTCAGTACTGAAGTTAATTGATTTTTAGCGATATGCTATGGTTACTTATGAAAGAAGATCCATGCATTTCATTTTCGAGAATAGGTTTGATTTTATTTTTTTTATTCAAGATAAAAAAAAAATTATTTAACATTCATCGTAATCTGTTAGGAACGCTTTTACGGCTGGGAATCCCGTCTTGAAATTTGTAAATAAATGAAGCGACATTAAGATTTGCAGTGGAATATGTTTTCAACATTAGGCCTCCATGATGTTCATATCTAAACTTTAACTACATATATATCGGTAAATATTTTTAAAAAAAAACATGCGAGTATGTTATATCTTAGAGCTGAATTCGATCTTAAAATTTATAGTTAAGATATTATAACGGCAAATTTGCAAGTGACATGAAAAAAAAATAATTGTCCATGCTTGTTTTTGTTGAATGACTGTTCCGTGCTATTTCTCTCCCTGTGTATAATTTAATTTAAACAATATTTTATTATGAAAAAACATAATTGGATTGGACAGCAGGCACTGCCTATATAAGTCCTTTCCACAATACAAGGTCAAAATCATACATGTACAAGTAAACATTATTAATATAACATTGAAAATTATAAATATATACATGCATATATTCAGTAGAAATGTATAATATGACAAGGCAAATTAAGGAGAACAAAAAAAAGAAATATATATATATATAATTTAAATTTATATTTTAACATATATGACTGGCAATTATATTAATAATTGTATAAATTTAAAAAAAAAATGAATAAGAAAACATAAATAGGTTTTGGTTCTGTGATTTGACAATTGAAAAAAAAAAAAAAAGCAGATAGAATATCATCTGTGTATAAAACAACCATGGTAACAGAAAGGGAAATAATTCAAACGAAATTAAGTTTCCCGATTTTCAAAAATTAAATATCACAGTGTATATTCATTATATATTTTATTTTCATGTTCCTCTGCATTCATTTTACATTAAATAAAGATAAGGGTAAGAAAAATAATCGCGTCAGTTTAATAAATGCAGTTTGTGCGTTAGCAAAAATATCTCTTTCATCGAAATTTTAACTCCTAATATGTTTCGTCGTTGTGACACCTTTTCCTTTCAAAGTACAATTAAAATACTAGCCTAAGGACTCGAAAAAAAATTTAAAAGGTTGTATATTTTTTTTTTAACTTTTATTGACAAATCCGAAAAGTAAGAAAATGGTAACGACAATACATGATTACTTGATTAATTATTCCTACTACATGTAGGAAGGACATGAAATTCGACAGGGATTTCTGAAACAGTGGGTGCGCGAAATCGGGGCGTTGGGTCAAGAACTATCACTTATAAAGCTAATGAAAATTCCCTTTATTACATGTTAATGGCTCAAAACGTTTCGTATATTAACTCTTCTTTATAGATAATTCCTTTCAAAAATAAATCTGTTCCATATATTAAAAGAATCGATTTATTTTACACCGAGCTTATGAACGATTTCATTGTATACACGTAAATCGTTAGATGACGTCATAGTGCTTTTTTTGTTTTACTCGAAAAAGTTCCAATATTCAACATCAAATATTTCTGTAACGGATGCTCGTACCTTTCAATGTCCAATAGAGAAAATGTAGGGAAAATTTCCCGCTTTTAGGATATGGCATTCATTTTTTTTTTTTTATCGTGTGCTGTAAGTGAGATACAGCCTACAGAAAATAGCGCAAAATCTCTCATTTATGTGTAATTTTACTAACTTCCCGCAGTTATATTCAATGTTCAGTTCAAGTTTACAATAATTTCTTAACATCGCAGAGAAAAGTTGGTAATAGAAAAATTGTTGTGTTTCTTCTCTAGTTTCAGAAAATATCAACTGTTTTGTTGTATCCCAATTATTTACAAAACGCCAACAGTTAAATCACTGTGATGCTGAAAATGCGTCAAAAGGCGCACTTGGCCGTTAAGGGGTATTCATTTTCAAATCATAACACATGCATACTCAAACTTTGTCAATTAATGCATCTAGAGTCTTCGGAGTTTGTCAAAGAGGTCTCACCGTTACCTACTTTTGAAATTCCATGACTATATCTAAAAAAAAAATTCCGTGACAAGCAACTAAATATAATCAAACTTTGTCAATTGGTGCATATTCGATGCTCAATGCTCATAGTTGTTTACTCTTCTATTGCACCTCTAAAACCATTGAGAAATAAAGCATAAATTGAAAAGTACCTATTTGATGTTCACATTTTCAGATGTATGGTGATAGATACCAGTGGATTTCTTGTAATATATGACAGTTTCGGGAATTTACAGGATCAGAAATTTACAAGAAAACATTTAGGAGAAAACGTAGGTTTTATTGATGTGGTATATTGTAAAAATTATAAAAAAAAAAACTTGTAGGAAAAATACGTTCAGAATCTCAAATTACTTATGTAATTAAATGTTCAATATTTATGGATACCGAATACTAGTTCTTAAATTTCTTTTTCTGTAAAGAAAGAACACATAATGGAGGATCTGCTAAAAGATGGGAATATTGTGAAAGAAAGTTGTTTGATTATAGAAGATAAAATGCAGATGGTTTCTTATCGGGCAAGTACAAAGTAACTCGTTTGGAATGCAATGAATTCGCCATTCTATTGCTTTTTCTTAACTGTATGAGTGCATTGTATAAATTCAGAGGATAAAATTTAATTCTCATTTCAGGTAAAGCTGTTGGATACAGATGACCCAGTTAATAAACTGTCCTCGGTGGGGTTTATGATTGCTCCAGTCCTCAATAGTAATTTGTATATCATCATTACGGACGACGAGCGCTCTGGGAGTTGTTGTCAGGTCTGTACAAAGATGGAAATTTGTGTGCTTAGTTAAAATTAGTTAACCAATTCTTTATTTTTTTTAATTACATTTTCAGTTAAGGTTTATAAACTTTTGGAGCAACATGCTACAGAATTGGAAGGCCAATAATTTTAGTGTAGTCCTTTCAATACTCTGTTATTTGATTTGATTGGATCTCCATTGAAATTGTCTATTTTTAGCTCTACTGGTCAGAGACCAGAAGAGCTTATGCGATAGTAATGCGTCCGGCGTCCGTCCGTCTGTCTGTCTGTCTGTCTGTCTGTCTGTCTGTCCGTCTGTCTGTAAACAATTTTTCAAAACGCTACTCCTCCTACAATTTTAGTCTGATTTCAATATAACTTGGCACACAAGTAGACTACACTAAGATACATAGAATAGTGCATCGGTTTTTGATTTCGATTAACGGTGTTGCCATGGTTACTAAAAATAGAATTTTCTGTGAAATTCCTTTAAAACGCTACTCCTTCTACAGTTTTGGTCTGATTTCAATATAACTTGGCACACAAGCAGACTACACTAAGATACATTGAATAGTGCATCGGTTTTTGATTTTGATGAACGGTGTTGCCATGGTTACTAAAAATAGAATTTTCTGTGAAATTCCTTTAAAACGCAACTCCTTCTACAGTTTTGATCTGATTTCAATATAACTTGGCACACAAGTAGACTACACTAAGATACATAGAATAGTGCATCGGTTTTTGATTTCGATTAACGGTGTTGCCATGGTTACTAAAAATAGAATTTTCTGTGAAATTCCTTAAAAACGCTACTCCTTCTACAGTTTTGGTCTGATTTCAATATAACTTGGCACACAAGTAGACTACACTAAGATACATAGAATAGTGCATCGGTTTTTGATTTGGATGAACGGTGTTGCCATGGTTACTAAAAATAGAATTTTCAGTGAAATTCCTTAAAAACGCTACTCCTTCTACAGTTTTGGTCTGATTTCAATATAACTTGGCACACAAGTAGACTACACTAAGATACATAGAATAGTGCATCGGTTTTTGATTTCGATGAACGGTGTTGCCATGGTTACTAAAAATAGAATTTTTTGTGAAATTCCTTTAAAACGCTACTCCTTCTACAGTTTTGGTCTGATTTCAATATAACTTGGCATACAAGTAGACTACACTAAGATACATAGAATAGTGCATCGGTTTTTGATTTTGATGAAAGGTGTTACCATGGTTACTAAAAATAAAGTTTTCTGTGAAATTCCTTTCAAACTCTACTCCTTCTACAGTTTTGATCTGATTTCAATATAACTTGGCACACAAGTAGACTACACTAAGATACATAGAATAGTGCATCGGTTTTTGATTTCGATGAACGGTGTTGCCATGGTTACTAAAAATAAAATTTTCTGTGAAATTCCTTAAAAAACGCTACTCCTTCTACAGTTTTGGTCTGATTTCAATATAACTTGGCACACAAGTAGACTACACTAAGGTACATAGAATAGTGCATCGGTTTTTGATTTCGATGAACGGTGTTGCCATGGTTACTAAAAATAGAATTTTTTGTGAAATTCCTTTAAAACGCTACTCCTTCTACAGTTTTGGTCTGATTTCAATATAACTTGGCATACAAGTAGACTACACTAAGATACATAGAATAGTGCATCGGTTTTTGATTTTGATGAAAGGTGTTACCATGGTTACTAAAAATAGAATTTTCTGTGAAATTCCTTTCAAACTCTACTCCTTCTACAGTTTTAGTGATTTCAAACTAAGTTGGCACACAAGTAGACTACACAAAGATACATAAAATAGTGCAATGGTTTTTGATAAGTACAAACCAGTAGAGCTACAGTCTCGACAGAGACTTCTGGTTTATTTTATGCCCCACAGTATTGATCTATACAATTTTGATGTACAGTTATAGTTAAAATAAGTGGAGTACTATTACGTTAAGAATGCTTGAACGGCTTACATTAATTTGTGATACACGCTGTTTTGATCATAATATTAATCGAATGCAAGAGAATCGAAGTAAAGTATGATAATTATTATTTTATGAAATTTATTTCTTAGAATTCAGACAAATCGCCTCTGGTACATGCCTGTAGTACCAGCGAATCAGACTGTTGTCTGTGTCATAAGATCGTCCCTTATGATGCATGTGAGGATAAAACTACGTTAGGGTAAGTATTCAGCGGAAATGTTGAAGCCACCTTCAAGTTGTATTTATTAAAATGAAAGGTTGATTTAATTCAGGCTTGAAAAATGAAACTTTTTTGAAATAGGGATAATTACCAAGTCTGTAGTGTCAGGGTGTCAGATTCAAACGTCAAAGTTCCAGAGGAATCAGAAAGGATAAAAGAGCTAGAACCGTGTTTTGCCGATCATTTTAATACCGAAACAAGTCGTAAGTATTTATTTGAAAAATGTATTTTAGTTTTTATAACGACGGGTTTCTCGAATAATCATCTCTAAGACTTGGCTGGGGCCAAAAGGAGATTGAATGTTTAAATAATTCAATTCAATTCAATTCAATTCAATTTATTCTCTCAAAACCATGTAAATGGTACATGAGGTACAAAATCATATAAAACATATATACATATAATACAGTGGGTCAAGCCGAAGGTGATAATTAAGGAGAACAGACAATACTATTAATTTTAGAAATAAATGTACATAATTGTTTCAAAGAATCAACATCATTTTGGCACATGATTTCACAAAACTTGATGATATTTGGGTTAGAACAAAAATTTTGGTTCAAATAAACTTTTCTTAGTTGGTTTAAAGCACTGCATTCTAATATATAATGATACTCATCTCCTATCTGGTTACTATTGCATAAGCTACAAACTCTTTCATTTCTTTGAGTACCATTCCATCTACCTGTTTCAATTGGGAGGTGGTGATTTGTGGTTCTAAACTTAACAAAAGTTTTTCTAAATTTAAATGATAACAGTGTTAAATATTTTTCGCACTCGAAATTGGTTTTAAAAATTCTATAATTTAAACTTTTTGAAGATTCCTGAACTTCACTATTCCACTTTTGAATATATTGATCCTTTAATCTTTGTTTGACTGTAGCAGTTATCCATTCTACATTATAAAAATAATGTTCGTGCTCATACCATATATTTGATAAACCACATCTATAAAAAATCTTTTGTACAAATGATATCCATGAATTTTTCATTTGCTCTTTATCATGTTGTTTACGTAAATACATATATACTATTCTACACAATTTGTTTTCTTTTCCATTCACAAGGTTTGCCCAATATTTTATCATTCTTGAGTAAATATTTATGTGTAATGGAAACCTACCAGTTTCTCCATAAATCATATAACTCGGAGTGCTACTTTTCAAATTCAGTATATGTTTTAAATAACGTAAATGTACTCGTTCAATAATATCGATATTTTCATACCCCCATATTTCACAGCCATATAACAATACTGGTAAAACTACTTTATCAAACAAATCCAATTGCCATTCGAAGGGGAGATTAAACTGCCTAATTTTACGTATCACACCATACATTGCCTTTTGTGCTTGTTCACATAGGTGTTTTCTTGCTTTACATAATGAGCCTGAACGAGAAAATACAATCCCTAAATAATTAAAATCCTTGACTACTTCTATGATACTGCCATTATATGTAAAAATATTCTTTGGTTGTCTACCCTTTGAAAAAATAAGTATCTTTGTTTTCTTGATATTCACACATAATTTCCATTCTTCACAATATTTGTAAAATTCATTTAATGCTCTCTAAGATCTTCAGCAGTTTCGGCAAGAATTACAGTATCATCGGCATAAAATAAGATAAACAATTTCATATACAAAAACAACTCATCCTGTATACCTTTGCTAATACTAGACAAACCAACAATATTCTTTTCTGTCAAAAAATCTTCCAAGTCATTAATATATAATGAGAATAAGAAAGGCGATAAGTTTTCACCTTGTCGTACACCAACATTAAAATTAAAAAATTCAGATGACAGACCATTCATTTGTATTTTAGATTTTATACAACTATACATATTTTTAATAAAAGTAAAACATTTACCATTGACCCCACTTCTAAGAAGTTTGCACCAAAGTCCCTCACGCCAGACTGTATCAAACGCTTGTTTAAAGTCTATAAACGCACAAAACAATTTTCTTTTGCTGTTAATTAATGTCTGGGATAAAAATTGTAATAATAGGATATTGTCTAAAGTAGAGTAACCTTTTCTGAACCCAGTCTGACTTTCTTTAATAAGCATAACTTCTTCTGCATAATGTTCTAAACGGCTACCTAATATTCTTGTAAAAAGTTTACCTAAACAGCTTAAAAGGGTAATCGGGCGGTAATTTTCAGGATGCGTTGGGTCACCCTTATTTTTGTAGATTGGTTTCAGGATACCAATTAACCAGTTTTCTGGTACGATACCAGTTTCAAAAATAAGATTGAAAAAAGTTTCATAAATTGGCGAAAATAATGGCAAAGTTGTTCTTATGTGCTCATTTAAAATATTATCGAAGCCCGGGGCCTTACTGTTCTTCAAATCATTGACAGCTGATGAAATTTCCTCCCTGGTAATTGGATAGTCTAACAGCTCATTATTATTGTAATTATCTACATGTAAATAGTTAGGCCAATTAACCTCAGTACATTCAGTATTGCTAGTTTCATTCATTTCTCTAAAATAATTAAACATCGAGTCTAAATCCGCAGAGCCTTTTTCTGATCTTTTAGTACTATTAAGAATGTTCCAATATTCTTTTGTATTTGTTGTACGTAATTTCATAAGTTTCTGCGATAAGTCTTTTCTGTACTGTTTTATTGAGTTATCCATTACCTTTTTGTAGTATTTACTTGCTTTCTTCAGACTTTCTTTATTTTCAATCGTTTTATTTGCGTTATTTATGCGCTTCGCTAAATGAAATTTTCTCCTTGCTGTTTTACAGTTACCGTTAAACCATGGTTTATCTTTTTTCTTTACATTACAAGTTCGAAAACTTTTCCTTCCGAATGATTTCTCAGCAGCATTGAAAAATGTATCACACATTCTTGAAATTACAATAGACATTAATGTATGACTCATTGAATCATTAATGTTAGTCCATTAGTTATTATCCCATTACTTTTGTAGGGCGTGTATGTTGTTGTGATTTAATTAGTCCTCTGTGCGGAACGGAAGTGATGTAACTTAGGGCCAAATTTATGTTAAATAATAAACACCTTGGTTTTTACATCTATTTAATTAGAAGTTAAGTTTAAAGTTAAGTTTTCGTAAATTTTATGATCGTTTTGACCTAATTCTATATTATATTTTGGCCGACATGCTTCATACCAATCGTTAGACCTTTGTTTTAATATTTGACTATAAATTGTTCTGTTTACCTGATCAATACTACTCGCGGTAGATGTAACCAGTTAATTAAGCTAATACATGATGTATACTACTCGTAGGCACCTGGTCCTTCCTCTATAGACTTTTTAAGGGTCCGTGTTCTGTGCCCTGTTGACATATTTGTATTGTTTGAAGAATTATTGATGTGGATCATTGTTATCCTCGTCCTTTTCATTTAAAAAAAAATAATTCAATGGTAATTTAAAAAAAAAAAAAACTAAACAGATTGTTTTGAAAAGATTTTAGCATATCTGAAAAAAATTGGCATTATTTTTATGATTATTTCTGGATAATTCTGTAATTTTATTAATTGCGGTCATCTTATATGTCGTCTTTTCTTGGTTATCTTGATATCAATCCTTATTCTTTATAAATTTTCAGAGTCGAATTGCTCTGCATCTTTGAAAGATTACAGCTCGACAGATTCAAATGAAGTGGGGACTATAGTAGGAAGTGTAATAGGAGTGGTTTTGTTGATTGTCATTTTATCTGCATTAGTTGTCATCATCTATCGAAAACGAAGAAACGACGAGGAGGATACCTATATAGATCCAACCCCCGAAAAACCTTACATTAATCCTGCGTTTTCTACTGTTGAGGATCACAGGGACGAGGATGGGTCGTGTACAGCTACCCATTACAAGGACATTCAGTCCTCAGGGAGGGAGAATTGTCGGGCATCTGTCCGTACCAACAGTTTGAAGAACGAAGTGTGAATTGCACACGTCGAAAGATTTTATAAACATATACTTTTGTTACTTCGCCATAATAAGAATAATTTTCACCCTTTGAATTTTTCACTATGCATGTATACTAGTATGTTCCCATTTTTGATTATTGTAATGGATTTGTAACTCAATACTGTTGCGTCTTTGTAATTTTCATGCAACTTCATATGCTGTAAAACTTGCATTCAATTATACATGTAGATTTATTGTATGTTGCTTAACGTCTCTCGAGAGAATTTCTTTACTCATGTGCAGATACCAACACATGACCCAGTCAATGAAAAGGATAAAAAAAAAGGTAGAACAACATTTGTTTTACGATTTCAAATCTTTTTATTGTAGGTTTTTTCATAGATGATCTTTATGGAGAAAAGTTTATATGAAATTCCAAAATCTAACACCATCATTAGCTTTCTTTAAATCAAACTAGTGCTAATTGTAACGGGGACCGTTACAGATGTTCCCCAAACGCTCCCCAAATCCCTTTTTGTGCCTAATTCCTGTAAGACATTTTAAAAAATATGACCAGTATCGAAGGATTTAATCAAAGATTATAAAAGGTACAATGATATCAACTATATGTCATTTAACGTATTGTACGCGCACGCACGTGCATGTACATGCAAGATGATCATAGCATGTTGTCTAAACAATTAACATATCTATATATCGTTAGAATAAATTTAAAAAAAAATTCTTTACAATATATTTTAATGTTTTTTTTAAATATTGACCATTCTGCGTATTTCGCGCGCGCGTGTGCATGAATGAATGTTCGTGCATTCAATTTTGATAGTACCATTATGTTGGAATCAATTATACCTATTCATATTCTAAATTTTATCCCTTTTAGTTGAAAACTAAGAAAGGTATAGACATTTAAATTTTCAGCCAATCAGATTGCAGCACACGTGCATGCGCATGCTTTTCATGATAATTCTTATATACCATGCTGTAGATCTTTATAATGTATAACCATGTTCAAAATTTCAAAGAATTTTGTTCAAAATTTCAAAGAATTTTGTCGAAAAACAAGAAAGATATTGAGACTTTAGTTTCAGCCAATCAGAGCGAAGCGCACGTGCATGCGCGTGAGATCTTGCTATTTTGACCATGTCATCTAGTCTATGCTTCTAATATATCCTTATTTATAAGTTTCAAAACATTTCATAAAAAATTTAAATAGTTACATCTATATCAATTATATTGGACATTTCTGGTGTTGCACGTGCGCGCTCTCGCAAGCACATGTGCATGCACATTCTTTTATGATAATTCTTTTATATCAGGCTGTAGATCTCCCTAATGTATGACTATATTCAAAATTTCAAAGAATTTTATCAAAAAACAAGAAAGATATTGAGACTTTAGTTTCAGCCAATCAGAGCGAAGCGCACGTGCATGCGCGTGAGATCTTGCTATTTTGACCACGTCATCTTGTCTATGCTACTTATATATATCCTTATATTATGAGTTTTAAAATATTTCATCTAAAATTAAAAAAGTTACGGCAATATTCATTATATTGGTCATTTCACGTGTTGCACGTGCACGTTCTTGCAAGCACGTGCGTGCAAAATGACCTTCGTTCCGCAAATCTACATAACATGCCTACTGACCTTAAAAAGGTTTCACCTTAGTCGGATGTGTAGTTTACAAGATCACTCGCGTAAAAGATTTTCCCAGGAAGAAGAAAAATAATAATAACTAGAGCAAAGCTCGTTGCAAAGCATCGAATAGGTCTTCCGTCCTGTTTTGACCGGAAGTGACGTCAACAAAAGAAAACATTTTGAGCTAAGTCGTCTTCAGTCACTTTATAATTTCAATTTTGCATCAAAACCTTAAAAAAAAAAGCTATTTTTGGCTATTTCCGGTTTGACCGGAAGTGATGTCGACGGACGGAAAATTAAGTCTTATGCTTAATCCAGTGACATATGTTACCCAAAAACTTGTCAAGAACGGCAAAAATATGCATTTTCTAACGACTTCCGGTTTGACCGGAAGTGACGTCACCGGACACATTTTGACGACTTCCATAGATTAAGCTTGACATTTTGAACAACTTTGCTTCTTAGACGTATTACAAATTCTCAATACTTTTTGAGATATCTGGAAAAAACTTTTGGCCCCTCTAGATCCCTTAATTTAGGGGTCAGCCCTTTTTTTGAGATATCATTTGAAAGATCTTGTAATTCTGCACAAATTTTGTTCCATATGTTTTAACAAAATATTTTTAGTTTAGAAGATAAAAAGCTAAATATGTGTAAATTTTCGCTCTTTTAGGCGTTCTAATTTTTGACCCCTATACAGCACCGTTTTGAATAGAGGAATCGAAAAACAAAAACCGCTATGCACAACTTCAATCCTTCTATTGTGTAAAATCAGCAAAATTTCTGCTCCAGCTTTTGCCATCTCCGATCCTTTGTCTGGAAATAAAAGCCTATAAATTTTCGTTTAAAGGGAAATAACTCAAAACCGGAAGTGAATTTTTGGAATGCTAGACAAAATTCTGATAGAGTTTAGTAACGTCTATAAACTCTGAAAATTTGAGCAAAATCCATTGAGAAATGAGTGAAATATGAGACCTCAAAGTTGGCGTCTAGGAAAAGGAAAAAAAAAAGAATAATAACTAGACCAAAGCTCGTTGCAAAGCAACGAGTAGGTTTTCCGTCTTGTTTGACCGGAAGTAGCTTTCATTTTTAACAAAAATGAGAAATAACGCCCAAAAATGCTTTGAATCTTCTAAAACTATGTTAATTAATGCAAAAATAAGCAATTTTTGCTACTTCCGGTTTTACCGGAAGTGACGACGACGGACGGAAAATTAATTTTTATGCTCCCAGAGACATATGTTATTCAAAATCTTGTCAAGAACGGAAAAAATACGCGTTTTCCGACTATTTCCGGTTTGGCCGGAAGTGACGACGTCGGACGTATTTTGACGACTCCAGTAGATTAAGCTTGACATTTTGAACAACTTTGCTTCTTTAACCTATCACAAATTCTCAATACTTTTTGAGATATAAAGAAAACAATTTCGGTCCCTCTAGGTCCTTTATTTGAGGGGCCAGCCCTTTTTTCGACATATCATTTGAAAGGTCTTGAAATTCTACACTTCTTTTGTTCTACATGTTTTTACAAAATATTTCCAGGTAAAAAGATATTGTAGAAAAGTTGTTAAAAATTTTGAAATTCGCGAAATGCCTATTTTCGGGCCATAGCAAGCGCCGACGTGCGGCACTTCCGATAAAATGAAATACTTTATACATATCTATAGACTTTGGTCTATCATACCTGAAAGTTTCATGTTTCTATCTTGAGCCGTTATTGAGAAAACTGCCGGACAAAATGACCATCTAAAACTCACTAAATCGCAGAAAAATCCGAACCGGAAGTGACGTCATCAAATTAAAAAAAAAACGCCTTAAGTTCATATAATTTGTCATCAATGCTGAAAGTTTCATGAAAATCCATCAGCGCATTTACGAGAAATCGCCTACACAAAATCGGTAAGAATAATAATAAGAAAAGTTGAAAAGAAACAACAGAATAATAAGAAGGTCTTCCGTTGAAACGGAAGACCTTAAAAATAATCTTAATCATCAGAATCAGTAGAAGGTCTTCCGTTGGAAACGGAAGACCTTAATAATAATAAGAAACAGAGTAAAAACAATATGTTCCCCAACTTCGTTTGGGGAACATAATAAGTTGATGTAATGGGGAGACTGTAATTTGTTCTCTACGTATGAACATTTCTAAAACGATCTAAGTTATTATCAAAGAAGCTGATGAAACAAGAATATCAGCAGTTTCGTTTAAAGCCATCATTCCGTGAGTTCTATGGTCGATATATTATGACATTGTCAGCAAATACATGTACATGAAGTCAAAAGCTGAATGATTAGCAGGTGATGATTAACAAAAGCTATGAATAAGAAGCATTTCCAGAATGTTTAGGCACATTTCAAAACCAGTCAAACTAAAACATCGGGATTGTAAGCGAGGTAACAGACATAATGCGTGTATACTGGATGTTAATTAGACATATCCTCACGCTATTGGGGAAGTTTTAATTACGATGTATTTCGACAGTACTGAAATTGTTTTCTATCAAGATGTTTTTTAAACTGAACTTGTATCGCTTTGATTCTTCAATTTTAATGGCGAATTTATTTGGTATTTGCTTATGGACCAATATATGATCATTATTTTTATTTTCATTGACAAAATGTTGTTCTGGTCACGTCTTACCAACCTTATGATGTTTTTATAATAGTTATATAAAACTCCAGTGATGCAAAGAAGTTACCAAAAATATTGCCATCCTGAAAAAAAATCTTGAAAGTCTGCTGCAGACATCACTGCAAACTTCCTGCAATAGAATGCAGCGAAAGAAACCACTACAGCCTATATAATTATGTTTGTAGAAAGCTTGCTACAAGCTTTCAGCAAAGGTTTTAATTACCATACAAATTAGGTTTGTTTGCTGCAAGTCCACAGCAAACATTGGAAGAGTGGAAATAACGAACAGCAATCGATCTTATAAAAACAACACACAATACAGATCTATGAGCAGGACATAATCACAAACCGTGGAAATTTCAGAGGTGAGATCAGGTGCCTAGGAGGAGTAAACATCCCCTGTAGACCGCTCACGTCCGCCCTTAGTTCTATGTATTGATCAAGCCGATGGAACATAGCCAAATTCAGTACAAATAAAAGCCTAAACAATTAGCATGAAACGAGTCGGCCAAAATTTGACAAAGTGATATATTATAATTATTTGTAAATTAGAACATTATAACCATATAATTTAAGAACTGCTGATTTAAAATGGAGTTGTTGAAATTCCTGTAACACCAACATACGTGTGAATAGTCTGCATCGGTTTTAAAAATTGGTCATACTCAGATCATGCTCTCGCGTCTCGAATATAACATAAACACCATATCCAAGTGATAACAGAATATTGCTAC